GAGTGAGAGAGGGTGGGAAGGTAAGGGAGACAGGCTGAGGCAAGATACCATCCCCAAGGGGCATGCCTTCATGATCCTCACCCTTCAACTTGATCCTATCTCCTAAGTTTCCACTGCCTCCCAATAATCCCATCAAATTATGAATCCATCAATGGCTTAACCCATTGGTGATATCAGTCCCCTCAAGATCAAATTCCTTCCTAAAATTGCTCATCAACAGCCAAACAAACCTTTGGCCTGTGGGAGACATTTAGATCCACACTATAACACAAGTCCACTAACTCCTCTGTCGTTCTCACTTTGCTATTTGCTGTATTTTAAAAGTTCAGGTATTGGGGTTTTTTGTTTTTTGGGGTTTTTTTGGTACCGGGGATCGAACTCGGGACTTTGCTCTTGTGAGGCAGACGGCCGGACCGCTGAGCTGAATCCCCAGCCCCTCAGGTACTGGGTTTTTTTAATTGACTAACTGATTTTTTTAAAGATTTTCTATCTTTCCATTAATTTCAACAGTATTTGCCCTTTTGGGAGTACTTTTATCGTAAAGTCTCCATCAGATTATTCCAACATCTGTATCATCTCAGTATTGGCATCTGTTGGTTGTCTTTTCTCATTCAAGTAGATTTTTCTGGTGCTTCATAAGATGATTAATTTTGGCTCATATCCTGGATATTTTGAATATCATGTTATGAAACTCTAGGTCTTGTTTAAATCCATTGTAGAATGTTATTTTTGTTTTAACAGACAATTGAGCAGGGTGGGTTCAGGCAGCAAGTTCTGACCAGCCTTCTGTGGGTTGTGGTTTCAATGTCAGCTCCACTTTCAAAGCCTATTCAGATGCATCATATATGTGCGCCACCTGGTGTCTTGTCTGGGACTTGGGCAGTGGTTTATCCCTTAGTTCAGTTCTGAAAGGGTGGGTTTGCTTTCCTAAGTGTTCCTCCCTCTCTGTTTTTTCACCTGTGCTTTCTGGTTCCTTGGGTCTTCCTTTCTTGGTCTTCTGGCCAGATAGCTGGGGCTTTACTTACCACTTTCTACCATGAATTTTCTGTACTGTACCCAAACCTGGAGCCCAGCAGCAGAAAGGCAGAAAGGAAAAATGCAACCAAAACTGCACCTACCCTTTTGGGACTATAACTCCTCTGATCTCTCTTCTCCCTCAGCTTTAGGTGCCAAAGCCCTACTGCTGCCAGGTCACTATAACCAACACCACCATGGGACTCCTTCAGGGCAGGGGCAGGAGAGAACACAGAAAAAAAACAACTTGTGGGGCTTCCTATGTGCATCTGAGCCTTAGGTGCCCTAACTAGAGGTCTTCCTGGAGCTGTCTGTTTGTGCCCTAGTATTCATTGTTGGGTTTTGTACTGCTTTGAGTTCACAACATGGGACACCAGAGGAAAAATGTGAAATACACTACTAGTTTAGTAATACGTTGAATTCTGGTGTTTTTCCCAGTCTGTTACTATTTAAGTTTTGGAGACCTCAAAGGTGTAAGTGCAATCTGTCCAGGCCTTTACATGCATTCAGTGACAGTTTAAGTATACTCACTCCATCTTCTTTGAAACTGGAATCTTTTTTCTCAATTTTAATCAACCACACAAACAGAAAGAAAGTAAAATATGGATTAACTCAAATTATCTTACTAAAACTCTAAAATGTTTTTGGCAATATGGTATGCCCAATGTTACAGAAATTCCCTCCAAATAAAAGAATAGAGTGCCAGGCATGGTGACACACACCTTTACTTCTAGCACTTTGGTAGGCTGAGGCAGGAGGATCACAAATTCAAGCCTAATTTGTATAACTTAGCAAACCCTGTCTCAAACTTTTTAAAAGGAGGTGCACACTGAGGATGTATTTCAGTGGGAAGGCCCTGTGTTCAGCCCTCAGTACTGTAAAAATAAACACTAGTAACATGGCTGCAGTGAAGATCTCTGCCTACCTCTTCCCTGCTATCTCCCCTGCCCCACTCGTACTAAGGATTGAACTCAGAACCTTGTGCTTGCCAGGCAGACACGGCGCCACTGAGGTACATCCCCAGCCCCTCCTACCAACTTTTAAGACTGAGGTAAAGCATGAGATAGCAAAACTATTGACAAATATTCCATGAGAATATGAACAAGGCAGACTAGGTATGGAATCTAGGAGGTATAGTCAGGAAAACAGAATACTGATTTAAAGTTGACTTTGAATCAATTTGAATCTATCCTCTACTAAGAGAATTAAGCCAAAAAATATCTGAGTCCTCATTCTTTGCCAACTTTCTGAGAATCATGCATAGGCCTGGGAACCATATTCCATAGTCCACAATAATTTGCACATTGAGCCTAAGATATTTTTTATAACTCTAAGAGGAATAGAAGCTGAGGACCAAAAGCCCCTTGAAAATTAATGAGAACAGAGAAAGCAAGACCTGCTTGGATAAGAAAAGGAACTCTGGAGCCAGAGTGCCTCAATTCAAATGTTGGCTCTCCCATTTGCTTGCTATTTGACATTGGACAAATTATTTCACTTGTTTGTACATCAGTTTCCTTAGCTGAAAAAATAGGGGTAATAACAATATCTGTATCAAAGGGTTACTGTGAGACTTAAACATACACATAACTGTTTAGAACTCTGGTATACAATAAATTGTTTCATAGATGTTAGCTATCTCCTCCCTCTTTTTTCAGGCAAACCCAACCTAGAGTGCTGCTTTCTGGCCCTTTAGTGCCTAAGAACAGCCTATCCCACACCTGACAACTCAAGTTATGCCTTCTGTATAAAAAATATGAACCATTACAAATACATACAAGAGCACATAAAAATTTAAATGTACAGTGTAATGAGTTACCATGAAAAGGGGTCCTCTCAAATTCCACTCAAGTCACTAGAGAGAACATACCAGCACTAAAAGATCCCATGTGCCCATCCCTCACCACATCCCTTGACCAACATCTTTGTTATTTTAACACTGAATTATGTATCTAAACAAATACGGTTTAATTTTATTTGTTCCTGAACGTCATTTAAACAGAAAAACAGTATATATTATCTTGAGTTCTTTTACTCAAAAATATATTTAAGATTATGTTGTTGCATCTAAGTATAGTTTACTCATTTTTACTGTTCCACTTGAATATAACAGTTTATATATTTATAATCACTTTATTGTTGTTAGGTATGTGGACTGTTCATGGTTTGGGATGATTATGAACAATGCTCTTGTGAATATTCTTATACATACAGTTTGCACATATATTCTGGTATAGACAAGCATCCATTTCTGTACGAAAAATACCTGGAGGAAAAACTGCTAGGTCACGGGGTATGCTCCAAAGTGGCTGGACCAACGGAGACTGAGTTTCCACTCCACCATATCCTCACAAATACTGAGACTGTCAAGCTTTTCAAGATATGCTGTTTGGTAAATGTGTAGTGCTATGTCCCTATAACTCTAATTTGCATTTCCCTAAGTACTAATGCAATTGAATACCTTTTCTTTCTTTCTTTTTTAGTACTGGGGATCAAACTCAGGACCTTGCACTTGCAAGGCAGGAGGAGGCACCACTGAACTAAATCCCCGGCCCTTGAATACCTTTTCATAGGCTTACTGGCTATGGGGATTTCCTCTTTCATGCCTATTCAAGTCTTTTGCTCATTTCTGTGTTGAGCTGTTTCTTTTTCCTATTGATTTTTGTAGTTCTTTGTTCTAGAAACAAGGCTTTGGTGATTATAAGTATCTTTTTTCACTCTGCATTCCCTTTTTACTCTCTTAACAGGGTCTTAATTCATAAGAAGTTCTTAACTTTCATGCCATAAAACTGATCAGTCTTTTTCCATAGTGAATATATATAACTTTCTTTTATTTAAGAACTCTTCCTATTTGCCCCATCTTGAAGTGACTTCTGCCTCAGCATTTTGGTAGGAGTACCTCAAGAAAGCAATCACCAGGGGAGAGGGTGGCTCTCAAGCTGCATGGAGATGAATGGTCTTGAATAGGTTACTGTGTGTCACTGAACATAAGTCTCTTGTATAAAAATAAAACATATCAAAGCTTTGAATTATGAAGGACATTGGACAGGTATAAAGTTCCCAGAACAATGTTCATATTCTCTGAACATCTTTCTTTTTGTCCAGTCTACTGCAACTATCTGAACCTCATAAACATCCATCTATCACATTCAAGGATGGAAAAAGAAAACTGCTTCCATAGGCCAGCAGTCTGCTTGTTTTCATAGGTGGCACACCCAGTATGAGCCTGTCATCCTCACCTCAAAACATAGGACTGATATACAGAAATGCCAAGTCATTTTGGTGCTACTGTAAGGTCAGCAAGCTGAGGAATCAAAGCAGTATCCCTTCCTTGACAGCAAGCATAAAGGCATGTGGCAGGGGTACTGCTCTGGACTCAGGACAGCCTGGCTCTCCTGGCCTGGATCAATCTAGGCCAAAAGGCAATATGGTACTTTGCCCTGCACTGTAAACACAGGGGAGGGAGGGAGTGCGTTGCCTATGTGCCCTTGACAGGAATGCACAGTCAAGTGTGGTACTTCTCTCCTGGAGGACATCTGATTATGAGCATGTGGGATGTGCATATAAACACACAAAGGAGTGTATATCCTTGGGAAATGAGGGTGCTCTCACAGCCTGGCATTCTGCAGGAGGGCTCTGATGGTTATCATGCCCAGGGCTGTGTTCTCTCAATACCCTCTGTCCCATTCTCTCAGATAGAACATGAGCACAGAAAATGGTATCCTCTCATATGAGCCTGGACCACTCTATGTGAGGAAGGCACATTTGCTGTGACTCCTCAGCACACTTTTAAAGCAACTGGAAAAGTGCATAGATGATGTGTCCCTCTTCTGCTCCCTCCACTGTGAGTCCAAGAAGGGGTCCCCAAGACTCTGCCACAATTCTGAGATTGTACCTTGCCCTCACCCAGTACCCCTCCTTGCAGGCTCCAATACAATTATGGTCAGTACTGAGAGCTGAAAAGATGATAGAGGGGGAAGAATTGGTACCTGAGCCTAGAGTTTGTCCAGCGGAGTCAAAGGAAAGAACCACTGAATCTGCAACACAAGAGGACAAGTTCATTTCTTTCTCCCTACAGTAACATGTCAAGCTCCCACTGGCTCTGCCCAAACCCTGCCCAGGGAAGAATCAGCCAAGATGGAGCTTACTGTAAATGTCTCCATAGGTCTATACCACCCATTCAATGGGTCAGCAGGCCCTGCCGCATCCGGCACCCCTTAATGTCTCAAATCAGGGACAGCCCCCAAATTCTTCACAGCATTTTCTGCCAGATTAGGGCACAAATTTATTTCTTTTTCCCACTTCAACTAAAAATAAAATTAAAACAAAGCAAAATAAAACTTCCCTCCTGCATGTGGTTAAAGGCACTAACATTTCCCCTTTCACACCTGCCTTTCTTCTACTCACATACCCAAATGTTTATTATTGCTTCTTCCAAAAAAGGCCAAAAATGGCCTACAGGAATTTATGGTATATGCTGGAATAAAAAGTTTAAAAAGTCAAATAAAGAATATTATACAGTGGGGGAAATGTTAGTGCACAAAATGCATGCCATGAGAACCTTACAGACATGGCAGGCAGAATCAAGGAGTGCATGAGCTCCCAAGCAGCCAAAGCAAAAAGAAGAAAATGAGCAGTTCGAAGATTCAGTGTCCATAATGCATTATTCTTGCTTTCATTCAAACGTTCAAGAAATACTGATCAGGCATCTACTATATGAAAGGTACTATTACTTTGAGATGCAGAGGTAAACATAAAACCATGGTCTCTACCCTCATGAATCTCCCTGCCACAAGTCTAGGAGAGAGAAGTTACCAAAGAAATTAACTAGAAATTAAAAAATGAAATTAAATTTTAAAAGAGTGCTATGAAAGTTCGTATTGGGAACTGCACTGAGTATGGAAGGGGAGTGGATGCTGGACAGGGAGGGTTTCCTGAAGAAGATGACATTTGGACTAATAGCTGAAGGATAAGTAAAGGTCAAACCCAACAAGGATTTGCTTGCTGGAACAAGAGGCCACCAACAGGGACCTGAAGCAAGAGAGAACCAAGTGTTCCAGAGCCACTCAAAGACCCAAACATAGAAGCAAATACTATACAATGATCAAGAGAACTTTTTTTGTAGGTCTTAAGGAAAGGGATGCTGTGTAATGTTCAAGTTGTTAAGGTATCTCTTGAATAGTTGTGAATCTTGTACTGTTGTTTCTTATAAGATAAGCCAATCCAAAATGATGAAATAAAGCCAAAGTATAGTGCATTAATTACAATTACAAGTGGCACCAAGATGATGGATGGCCCAAGATAACTCAAAAGGGATCAGATTCAAAAGGTTCACTCACTACAAAGTAATGCCAGCTGGATGCACGTAAGACCCTTGTTTATAGTCACACCTCACCTCAGCACTGTTTTTCAGATTTCAGTGTGTAAGTCATTTTCTCTCAATGCACGCAGAAATTCAACACAATACTTATCATAACTGTAAATAACATCTGTTTACACTGCAAGACTATAAACTCCATAAAAGCAGACATTATATCTGCTTTATGCACTGTTACGTTACCAGCATAATATCTGACACAATAACTATTTACTGAATTATAACGCCTAAAGAAATAAGTGGACCACAAATCCTTCAGGCAATCTTTCATAAATATGTTTTCTCACAACCCTGGGTTTACTGAAGTCTCAGTGACCATGAGCTAGAGATGTGGCTTCTGATAAGAATCCAGAGACAAATATTTTGTATAGCCAGTTAAGGGCTTTGAAATCTGTCCAGAAAAAGGTAGGGATGTTACCTTTTTACAAAAATGAAGAAGTACCTCTAGGACCACTGGCTGAACACACAGATGACTATCCTATCTCATACAAGCAATGTCTAATTCTCATAAGTTCTACTCTTATTTCTCACACCTGTCCTCTCAATGGAAAGTCTGCCTTTCCTTTTTAAACAGATTTATTAAGGTATAATTTACATATCTCAGAATTCACTCAGTTCAAGTTTACAATCCCCTGAGACTTTTAGAAAGTTCCTATTTCCATCACCCTGAAGGATCCTTCATGCCTAGTCACAGTTGGGCTGCCACTGCCAGCCACAGGCCATCACTGCTTACTTCCCACTTACCAGTTTGCCTTTCTGGACATATGCCTGTCCTCTTTTGCTGGGACTGCTCTGATAGCTCCTAACCACACCCCCTGCCTCCAACTTGACTCATTTCTCTTCACCCTTTGTACGGATTTCTCCAAAAAGTATACTGGACCACTCACCCTTGCCCAGCGTACACAAAGCCCTTGTTTTACCCCCATAAAACAAAACAAAAAAAACAACAAAATTTTATAGTAAATGTGTTATCATTTGTATCATGAGAAAAAAAAGTTAAAGTCAAATGTGGTGCTATATGCCTTGTTGTCCCAGCTACTCAGAAAGCTGCGGCGGGAGGGAATTAAATGAAAGTTAAAAAATAACTTTCTAATGCAGCTGTAGGATTTTAGCATCTAACCTACTATGTAGTAATACCAAAGAATGGAAGGTTCTTGCTCTCTTTCATTACTCATTGTAAGTGCTGAAAGGCTACTCAGCTTTTCTATGCAGTTACTGAGATCATCTTTATATTTCATACCAACTGTATCAATCCCTCAACAAACTGGGCTTTCCCCTCTTCTTTCTTCCTTCCCACAGATATTATCATGTGCCAGGCTCTGTGCCAGGTACAGAGATATGGAGCTCAATAAGAGACAGACAAGCCAGGAAGACAGACAAGTTAGTAGGCACTTAAGATAAAGTATGATATGAGTGTTCAGGAGGTAAGCGCCAGATAGGTGACAGTCTCACTGGAAAGAAAAAGTCAAAGGCTTTGCAAATATTCTTTCCAATGATAGTTCAATGCTTCTAAAAGCACAGGTCTTTGATAAGGCAATGCAAACAGGATGGTACATATTTCCACAGGAAATTATTGACATAAATGTTTTGTGAAAGTTCAGATGAATTTTGCTCTGATCATTAGAGGCACAGACGTCAGAAACAGTTTGGATATTCATTATTTGTGCTTATTCTGAAGGATTTAAGATGATTTTAATCATAAACCACTCTGACAGCTAATGGGAAAACTCAGTATTCAACAAGTTGAGAAGTTTGCTTTGGAAGACACAGAGGCAGAACATGCAAACTTCTCCATTTCCACCTAACAAATATGTCATTTTTATTTCAAGCATCCCAAGCTCCAGCTGTTCTGGCTCCCAGGCCAGAGGCAGCCATGTGGTGTGTTGCACAAGTGACCAAATAGAATCCCAGACTGAAGTACAACACAGCCTTGCTGCACATGACTGTTCAATGAGGAAATCTAGAACTTACTGGAATCTTTTATTAAGGTCAGATGTTTCCCGTATCTGGTTTCTGAAGCAGAAAATAAGGAATAAAAAGAATGGGCTCAGTCTTCCTAGTCACTGCAGAGGTTTTCAAAGTACCAAGTGAGCAGTGAACAAGCTACATTTTGGGGTGCTTCCTGTCATGGTACACACTTCACATATATCTTTTGCTATCCAGCATCTGTGAGCCCCAGAAATGTAAGAATGAAAAAGCAATTCCAAGTAGTTTGCAAGCTAACAGATAAAGTAAAAACACATGTAAAGCTAACATATTATGATACATCAAGAGAGAAAAAATAATGAGGGAGATTTCAATGTTCATTAATGTAACTTTTTTTTTATTCTTAAGTTCTTTAATTGGTACATTATAGGTATACGTTTACATTTATCACTGGGTCCTTGTACCTGTACATGATGTATCTTGGTTCTTATTTTTTCGCTATTACCTGTCCTCCCTTCACCCCCTCCACCCCTCCCTATTTACATACACTTTGTTTTACATTTTTTTCTTTTCTCATAATTTTTCCTTTCCCTTCTTCCCTTTCCCCTTCCCCTACCGCTTTGGAACTTTTCTTCCTATTTCAAATTATCAATTATTCATTTTAATCGTTTTAATCCTCATTTACACTTTCAGTTTCTCACACTAGAGAAACTATTCAGTATTTATACATGTGTGTCCTATTTATTTCACTTAAGAGGATGGCCTCAATATGCATCCATTTAGCTGTAAATGTCTCTAGTTTCTCATTCTTTATGGCTAAGTAGCACTCCATTTTATTAAAAAACCACATCTTCTTTATCCAGTTTCCAGTTGATGGGCACTTGGACTGTTTCCAAGCTTTAGCTATTACGAACTGTGGCCACTATAAACATGGGTACACATATAGCACTGTGGTATGATTCTTTTGATTCTTTGGGGAAGATACCCAGCAGGGAAATAGCTGGGTCAAATGGGACCTCTAGTCCTAGTTCTTTGAGGTATCTCCATACTGATTTCCACAGTGGTTGCACCAGTCTGCACTCCCACCAACAATGAAGAAGGGTTCCTTTCTCCCCACAACCCCGCCAGCATTTGTTATTGGATGATTTCTTAATAGTGGCCATTCTTTCTGAGGTGAGGTGGAATCTCAGTGTTGTTTTCATCTGCATCTCTCGAATGACCAGTGATACTGAACATTTTTTCATATGTTTATTTGCTGCTTTTACTTCTTTGTCTGAGAAATGTCTGTTCATGTCAGATGCCCATTTTTGAATTGGGTCTTTGAATTTGGAGGGGTCTGATTTTTTTCAGTTCTTTATATATTCTAGATAGTAGTCCTTTGTCTGAGTAATGTAACATATTTATTGAGCAACTACTGCACATCAGACTTAAGGATACAATGGTAAGAACAAGAACGATGCACTGGACCATGGAAGGCTGCCCAGCCATGGAAGGCAATCCACACACTGCTCATCCACCTCTGAGGCAGACTGGGTCTCCTATTAAGAGTGTACTGGGAAGTACAGAGCATCAAGAGTTGATAGAGACTCAGCAGACAGAAGAGTAGAGATAGGGCTGTGGATCGAGCTAGTGACAGAACATCAGAGGAATGAGCACAACCCTGCTGTCAAATGCAACAAGACACTTAAACTTAAAGAGCTGCTTCAGATTTACAGTGCTCTCCCAGTTCCTGTC